CTCCCTTAGACCAATCTGTTTCCTCAATGGGTTCTATCCTCCAATAAAAGATTGAGAGTGGAAGAATATATTCTCATTACAGCCTTGACTGGTGTTATGAGAATCATTTTATGCCATGATTTTAGTGACAAAAAGATGATGACTTAACCAAACTCTCTCATTTTCCCGATTTTGTTTTAAACAACATACATTAACATTTTAAAATAGAATTCAAACAGGTGCCCAATAACAGAATGACAAACGTTAAGTGTGAAATCTGAAAGTTAAGAAACTGAGCTACATATGGTCACCTTTTCTTTTTTTTTTTAAATATCTGCCTGTGCTGGACTGTTAAGTGGTTTTATCACTGTCACATCAAGCGGGACTTGTAAAACTTGGGATGTGGGTATTCAAAGACATTTGCTTGGTGCCTTTAATGATTTCTCTAATTAGTCATTTAAACAGATTGCCCTGTGATCCAACACAGGGAATTCAGGGAGATGAGCTGAGAAAATCATTTCCTGAAGGTACTTTAAACCTAATGGCAGAAAATGAGGCTTGTCTCTGTGTAGGATTCTCTGGCTCATAGTTCACGGGGTGGAGCTATAGCTAGAGAGCTGTGTTCTCCAAGAATCTATAAAATGCACATGCCAGGTGTTTTTTTGGGGACACCTAAGTGCTAAAGGTCTTTGTTGGCTCTGCCAAACTTAACAGGTAAGGAAATGGTGCCTACATGCTAATGACAATTTAGAAACCAAAAGGAGGAAACACACATGGTTAGAGCCAAATTGTGGCTGGGAGAGAAAAAGAAACCAAGGAAGGGATACATCTCAGGAGCAGGGGAAGAGGGCTGGGAGATCTGTGACTCTGCCTTCTTGAACTGGGCTGGGAGATCTGTGACTCTGCCTTCTTGAACTGGACAGCTGTATTTTATTAATAAATGTACTTTGAGTGACTAATTAGGCATTTACTTTAAAGATAAAAGTAGAAGTTTTCAGAGTGTGTCAGAAAGGGACTTATTTTAATGACTCCATGCCTCCCTCACTAGGCAATGCTCTCAGTAGACACCTTTATCTCAGCAAGCATCAATTGCTCCATGAGAGAAAGGGCTGTTCAATTCTCACCAATAATTCTGCCACTCTCTTGTGGGAGTTGTGTTGAAGATTCAAAGCCTTTAAAAAGCCAGGATGATATAAATCTGTGTTCATGCACACATTCATATGCACTCCCTTTGTAAATAAGAATAAATAGCAGTTAGTATTTACTGAGTGTTAGCCACATGCTATGCACAAGTCCAATGTCTTTAAGTGTCCTAACTTATTAAATTCTCACACATCTGAATAGCGAGCTTTTACTGATCAGCAAACAGAGGGACAGAGCATTTAAGTAACCAGCTTGAAGCCACAGAGCTAATAATGGGAAGAGCTAGGATTCAAATTCAGGCAATCTAACTACAAACACGATGTTCAAAGTGCAAACATTCTCTCCTTCATGTCCTTCGACATTCCCATTTCCCATCTGTAACCAAACATATGGAACACATCAATTTCTTTTATGGGCCCTAACATCACCATAGAGTCCTAGATAAATCTTGACTGGATGTTGGATGACAGAGAAGCATATTAAAGATGTGGAGGATGGCGGTGAAGTTGGCCTGAAGAATAAAGCGTCTTGCTTTGAATGACTTGAAAGATGTTTTGACAGGCAGAGAGAATGCAATGGCATAAAGTAAAGAATTCCACTACACTATTCCAGTAATGTCAGTGGCCTAGAGTTCATGATCCTGAACTGCAGGGCAGAGACAAAGGGGGAAGCAGACTTTCAAAACTGACACATGGCGCATAAAGTCCCTTGGTGTCATCTGCCCTTTCATCTTCAAATCCTTAAAATCCCCATTGCAGATTGTCTTGCACTTTATCCCCAAAACATCTACCATCCAGAGTTTTCAATCTAGCCAACAAAAGAAGTAGAATTTCAGGGAGACAGAATAAATGGCTAGGAGCCATGGGGCAACTCCTTTGGTTGACATACAAATCCCCCTACCTTATGATTACCTGGCATTCAGTGTGTTTCTGACATAAAATATAAATGAGATTTTGAAAAGAAAGCAGAGTGAACAATTACACCAGAATTTGTGTGTTTGCCAAGTCTTAAGGGCTATGTCCTACACAAAATATGGAAAAGCAAAACCATTCAATGGTCTTTGAGACAGGAGATATGATTTGGCATGAACTATCCCTCGAATTTGGAGAGCCAGCTGAGGCAGGAGACATTAGGAACCTTAGTGGCTCTAATTCTGGTTGCCTAAACGTGCTCACTGAGGTGGGGGACAAGTCTATTTGTCTCCACTGAGCAGGGAGAGCTGTCAGCAGAATGCTAAGTAGCTATTTCAGCAGTGCTGATTGATTTGCAGAGATAGCACAGATGTGACCTCCTCAGTCAAAGTCAATGTTTTCTTGGCCCTCAAATTTCCAGAAAAATACAAATGTAAATGAAAAATAATGACAAGACCCATGAACGGCCCCAGAGTCATTGTCTCGACAATTATTTAATGCCTGTTAGGTTTCCAGCACCCTGCTAGATGCTGACAGTGACATAAAAATCATCAGAGACATAACTCTTGTTCTCTACAATATTAATAATGGTAAAGTGGTAAAAAGTATATAGTTTTTTTTTCAACGTTTATTTATTTTTGGGACAGAGAGAGACAGAGCATGAACGGGCGAGGGGCAGAGAGAGAGGGAGACACAGAATCGGAAACAGGCTCCAGGCTCTGAGCCATCAGCCCAGAGCCCGACGCGGGGCTCGAACTCCTGGACCGGGAGATCATGACCTGGCTGAAGTCGGACGCTTAACCGACTGCACCACCCAGGCGCCCTAAAAAGTATGTAGTTTTAAAATCAGAGTTGAAAGTTTCCTTTGCCACATATATTCTGCTTTTCAAATTAAAAACTAACAGGTAACCCTGAGTATGCCTTCCATACAGTCTTCTTCCCTTTGTCTAAAATGCCCTTTTCTTCACCTGTCTACAGAAACTCCAGATCTATTCAAAGTCCAACATGACTGTCACCTCAATGACATGAAGCCTCAACGGCCATGCCCACACAGCAATGCCCATCACTTTTTCTGTGCCCCATCGATGTGTTTGCAATTCAAGATATTATTGTAGGTATCCCGGTTATGTGTCTGAATTCCCATACTCAGTGACCTCTTTTGATTGAAGTTCTTCTAGACCCTGGCTGTTCTTTAAAACATCTCTGGGTATGTTTAAAAAAAAAAAAAGTATAGAAGTTTAAGTTCCAAATCAGATCCATTGATTCAGGATTTCCAGGATGTGGGCCTGCACATCTTTATTTTATTTTACTCTCTACAAGTGATGTTGAGTTACAATCAGGGCTAGAAGCATGGTATTATACAATCAATGACTCAGAATGAGAGAATTTTGCCTTGCCAGCCGGGCTTGTCATTCTCTTCTGCTTCATGTCCTCAATGTTTTTTTAACTCACCCCTCACTTATCACCCTCCAGCCACAATGGCCATCTTCATTTCCTCCCACACACCAAGTACTTTCTTCATGGTATCCATTCATGCTCTTGCTTCATCTAGAATGTTCTTACAATTCGTTTGGCTACCACCTACTGTTCAGGTCTCAGCTTGGGTGCTGTTTCTTCAGAGGGGCTCCCCATTGACCTCCACCAACCTAAATCAGCCTCTCTCCTTTCATCATTTGCCACTATTTGTAGTACATTCTTGGTGTTTATTGGTGGGATGCCTGTCTTCCCAACAAAAGGGGAGGAGCTCCATGAACACAAAGGCCATACTGACATAGTTCACCAATGCTTAGCTCATAACCTGTATTGAAAGATTATCTATTGTTTTAAAGTTTATTTATTTATTTTTGAGAGAGAGAGAGAAGGAG